ACTGGACCCCTTCCTGACACCTTACACCAAAATTAACTCCAGATGGATTAAAGACTTAAACATAAGACCTGGCACCATAAAAACCCTAGAAGGAAATCTAGGCAAAACTATCCAGGACATAGGAGTAGGCAAGGACTTCATGAACAGAACACCAAAAGCATTGGCAACAAAAGCCAAAATAGACAAATGGGACCTAATGAAACTCCACAGCTTCTGCACGGCAAAAGAAACAGTCACTAAAGTGGATCGGCAACCAACAGAATGGGAAAACATTTTTGCAGTTTATCCATCTGACAAAGGGCTGATATCCAGAATTTACAAAGAACTGAAACGGATTTACAGGAAAAAAAAAAAAAAGCCCATTCAAAAGTGGGCAAAGGATATGAACAGACACTTTACGAAAGAAGACATATATGAGGCCAACAATCATATGAAAAGTGCTCATCGTCACTGGTCATCAGAGAGATGCAAATCAAAACCACATTGAGATACCATCTCACGCCAGTTAGAATGGTGATCATTAAAAAATCTGGAGACAACAGATGCTGGAGAGGATGTGGAGAAAAAGGAACACTTTTACACTGTTGGTGGGAGTGTAAATTAGTTCAACCATTGTGGAAGACAGTGTGGCGATTCCTCAAGGCCTTAGAAATAGAAATTCCATTTGACCCAGCAATCCCATTACTGGGTATATATCCAAAAGACTATAAATCGTTCTACTATAAGGACACATGTACACGAATGTTCATTGCAGCACTGTTTACAATAGCAAAGACCTGGAATCAACCAAAATGCCCATTGATAATAGACTGGATTGGAAAAATGTGGCACATATACACCATGGAATATTATGCAGCAATCAGAAATGATGAGTTCGTGTCGTTTGTAGGGACATTGATGAATCTGGAGAACGTCATCCTCAGCAAACTGACACAAGAACAGAAAATGAAACACCGCATATTCTCACTCATAGGTGGGTGATGAAAAATGAGAACACATGGACACAGAAAGCGGAGTACTAAACACTGGGGTCTATTGGGGGGAAAAGGGGAGGGCGAGTGGGAGGGGGAGATGGGGAGGGATAGCCTGGGGAGAAATGCCAAATGTGGGTGAAGGGGAGAAGGAAAGAAAAGCACACTGCCATGTGTGTTCCTACGCAACTGTCTTGCATGCTCTTCTCATGTACCCCAAAACCTAAAATCCAATAAAAAATAAAAAAAAAAAAAAAAAAGAAATAAATTTCTATGAAAGTTTTTAAAAAGTGATGAAAATATGCCTCTTTGCAATTCTTAGCAGCACCAATAGAAGAATCATAAGCCTATAGACACTTCTTTTGAAAGCTATAGTAGTAAACAAACGTTAATGGCTAAAAATATCTTTTAAGCTATATTATTTTCATTAAATAAGCAGGTTGTATGTTTTACACAGCCCGGTGATAAAGATTACCAAATAAAACTTGCACACAAATCAAAGATGGAATAAAACAAATTTAAATCAGATTCATTTAAACATTTTTATAAGGAATCAAAGATAATTTCATTTAAGACAGCTCAAACTTTGATTTGCCATAGAATACAGATAACTTCTGCTTTATTCACAAATGAACACTGAAAATATTTGGGTTAAGTATTACGGGGCCCATAAAAGCTCATCTGTTTCAATAATTTAAAGCAAACCATTATACCCAGTGAAAGATGTTGTTCCCCAAAGTCCACCAAGCAAAAACATTTAGTTCCAGCTCTCATTTTAGTTATATTTTCCCCACTATCATGGTCATTAACAGCAGTATACAGAAATAACCCACAACTTGATCAACCTTAGTGTCTCCATGAGTTTTCACACAAAGTAAACTATTAATCTTTTCTACAAAAGCCAAATTTTAAGAAAGGGACTAAGCAAAGTATTGTAGGGAATAGAGTTGAGGAGAACTAAAAGTTTACACATAACCTAAGAGAGAAGGAAAAAAGTTTTCAAGCTGTCTGTTCCACGAGGAACTACCACCTTAAACTGTGTGCCAAAGAATGCTAGCTCTAAGTGCTGCTCCATAAAATGCTTAGAAAATGTTGTTCATAATACACAGAATATTTTTTGAAAAAACTGAGGCATTCTATAATTGCCCCCCTCCAAATATACCTGTAACTTTCAAAAAAATTGTTTAACCCAGTATTTTCAAGATACTTAACTTCATAATCTTTCTTACCTATCAAGAGTTCTGCAAAGTTAGTGCTCCTTACAGCATATTTTGAGAAACTATGTAAATTCTAGGTAATGTGCCATTGATTTAGAATCTATTAAGGAATCATATGATTAAGAGAAATCCAGCAAGGCAACAGGAAGAAAACTGCTTAGGAATGTTTAAAATATTTAAGATAACACACAAAAGATAAACAGTGTAACAGAAATAGAACACCTGGTTATTATTCGTTTGGTAAGCATCATCTGCATATACAGTCTATCAAATTGTTTCAGATTATTTTTTCATCCATATTGCCAACATTTCACCCATTCCCTTTCAACCATAGAATAATGGTAAGCTTAAATATTTTCCCAAGTTATTTTCCGTGTTATAGTCTACTTTTTTAAAATCTAGTGCTTCTGAAACTTAATTTATTGCTCATGAATAAGCAGGGATCTTGTTAAAAATGTAGGTTTTGGGGATGAGGTCTGAAATTTTTCTAACAAGCTCCCAGGTAGTACTGATGCAAATACACTTGAGTAACAAAGATCTAATTGATTCTGAAAGCCATGCCTTACTACTCTTAACTCAGTGAATTGTGCATAAACATCTGTATTCAATTACTAATCCAAAACTTCATTTTGGACCTATCTGGTTTTTCTCCTAACTACTATACTCATTTCAACACAACCCTGGTTTAAGATAAAATGTATGTACAGTACAGACTTCAAATGTACAATTCAGTTATGATAAATGCATATTCCAAGTAACCCTTACTACCTCTCCTTAAGGTAAAACGCACATACAGTAAAGAACAGATTTTTAATATACAATTCAATGAGTTTTTATAAATTTTTACACCCAAGTAATGACTACACCCCTCCCAAGAAAATACAGAACACTGTCACCACACCAACTCTGTGTTCCAGCCCAGCTCTATAAATGCCCTTTCACTTTTCCACTGCCTATCCACTTGTCCTTAAAGACTCAACTGAAGCCCTTCCTTCTTCAAAGCACACCCAAAATTCACTCATGTACCACTATCTAAATGTATTTATTATTTTTGAGACACGGTCTGCCTCCATCACCCAGTCTAGAGTGCAGTGGTGCAATCATGGCTCACTGCAGCCTCAATCTCCTGGACTCAGGCAATCCTCCCCACCTCCGCCTCCTGACTAGCTAGGACTACAGGCACATGCCACCGTGTCCAGCTAATTTTTTCATTATTATTATTTTAGTAGAGATGGGGTCTCTTTGTTACCCAGGTTGGTTTCGAATTCCTGGCCACACACCTCAACATGGTGGGATTACAGGCATGAGCCACTGCACTTGACCTCTGATCTACCACTTTTTTTTTTTTTGAGACAGAGTCTTGCTCTGTCACCAGGCGCCAGGCTAGAATGCAGTGGTGCAATCTCGGCTTACTGCAATGTCCACCTCCCGGGTTCAAGCAATTCTACTGACTCAGCCTCCCACATAGCTGGGACTACTGGTGCGTGCCACCACACCCAGCTAATTTTTGTATTTTTTAGTAGAGAGGGGGGTTTCACCATGTTGGCCAGGATGGTTTCGATCTCTTGACCTTGTGATCCACCCACCTCAGCCTCCCAAAGTGCTGGGATTATAGGCGTGAGCCACCACACCCGGCCTGATTTGCTACTTTTAAGACCCAGCCATCATCATCCCACTGAACAATACAGTGGCACCTCACAAGTTTTTCTACCTCTATTCTTGCTCCCCTCCTCAATCCATAGAGTCGTCAGAGTGATCCTTTAAAAAAGCACATCCCTGTCCTGCTTAAAATTCTCCAATGGATTACCATCACATTTGCAATGAATCCAAATGCCTTTTCCTGTATCACAAAGCCCCTCTTTTTCTGACCTCATCTCTTGCTACTTTCCCTGTTACTTTCTATGCCCTGGCCAATTGAACCTCCTTCCTGGTCCTACAATACAGCAAGACATTCCTACTTTAGGGACTCCACATTAATTACTTCCTCTGCTCTTCCCCACCACCTTTATATGACAGGCTTTTAGTCATTCAGATCTCCACTTCAAAGTCACCTCCCCACATTAGCCTCCCTGACAACAAAATCTAAAGTAGCTACTCGGTCACTCCCTAACACAAATCCTACTTTAATTCTCCACACAGATCTCTAGTTGGTATTTATCTTAATGAGTTTGTTATTTATCTCCTCTCACAATAGCATAAGCTCCATGGCTATTCAATTTGTCAACAGCATTCAATGCTTTAACTTCTAAACCCAGAACAGCATCCATTTCATTACAAGTAAATGCTTAACAAATGTTTTCTTTTTGAGATGGAGTCTCACTCTGTCACCCAGGTTGGAGTGCAGTGGCGTGATCTCGGCTCATACAGCCTCCGCCTCCAGGGTTCAAGCAATTCTCCTGCCTCAGCCTTCTGAGGAGCTGAGACTACAGGTGTGTGCCACCATGCCCAGTTAATTTTTCTCTTTTTAGTAAGGACAGGGTTTCACCATGTTGATCAGGCTGATCTCAAACTCCTGACCTCAGGTGATCCACCTGCCTTGGCCTCTCAAAGTGCTGGGATTGTACAGGTGTGAGCCACCACACCCAGCCAATAAATGTTTTCTAAATAAATATGTTAACATATATAATATATACTCATATTATGCAGATGGAATTGTGTCTGATATCCCAATATAAAATTTTCTATAAAATCTAAAAAGAAAGCTATTGCTAGTTTTCAAACAAGATAAATCCTTCGTAAGAAAGAAAGAGGAGGAAAGCATTGCACCTTTAACTTGGAGCAAAAATAACATAAAACACAAGTTAAGTCAAAGTTTAATTCACATAAAGTTTAATCATCAATGAAAATATCAAAATTTTTGAGTTAGTGTATGGCAGAGAAAATTTAAATTTTGTTGCAAATAATACAATATTTGGTGTTTCCATTATTGACAAGCTATGCTGCAGAAAGAGCAATCGCATTAAATCTTAGTTCATCGGGGTCACGCTCCATAAACTTCTTGCAAACTTCTATGGCATCCTATGGAGAAAAAAAGCAAAAAAAAAATGTATGATTTTTCAATGTATAAATGTTTTGTTTACAAATGATAAATTTCATATTTTTATAATTCATACTAATTTTATACTGCAAACTTCCTTTTCCAAAGGGGAAATAAAGAACACCAGAGGAGTGAATAGTTGGGTGCCCTCATTTGCCATGTACAAAAGTATAAGATATAGTAAGTGCTCTTTTATTTTGAGACAGAGTTTCGCTCTGTCATCCAGGCCGGAGTGCAGTGGTGCAATCTCAGCTCACTGCAACCTCTGCTTCCCGGGTTCAGGCAATTCTCCTGTCTCAGCCTCCCTAGTAGCTGGGACTACAGTCACATGCTACGAAACCCAGCTAATTCCTGTATTTTCAGTAGAGATGCGGTTTCACCATATTGGTCAGGCTGGTCTCAAACTCCTGGCCTCAGTTGATCCACCCGCCTCAGCCTCCCAAAGTGCTGGGATTACAGGTATGAGCCACTGTGCCTGGCTGCAAGTGTTCTTAAAATGCTATTAAAGAACTTTTCACCTAAAAATCACATTTCATTGATTCTAAGCCACACAATTTATTCATGTTTTAAAATCTCTAAAATCAGGATCAAGATAGAATTAATGGGATCCTGGATTTGATGAAATCTGGGATATAATGAGTAAGTCTTTCAATACTATTCCTGTCTTTTCAAATTTGACAGCTGTTCCTTGAAAGAACTCTGAAAACCTCTTTGTTGTAGATTTTTAACACTAACTTAAACTTTCTTTTTGAATTTTCTAGAGAGAACAAGGATAAAGAAATATCCAAATACAGAGAAAATGTTATTCAAGTGACCTTTAGAGATGTTTTAAAGAGGATAAAATATTAATAGCACTTAAGATGGGCCAACAAGTTTTATTGTTACCTCTAATAAAGTTTCATCACTAGTTTCACCATGATTAATTGGAAATGGTTTCCGCCCATCTGTGGAAAACAGACAAACAATTGAATGCTTAGCTGGATAATGTATTTTCAACTTCCATTTTCCAATTCCCACAGTGAGGCAAGAAAAGTTAAAAGTCATTTTAAATAACATATCCTAAAACAAATGTTTTGATATGCTAACCATGAATATTTTTTATGAAAGCTTATTAGTTAGACCTTTGCTTCCATGTTTGAAAGCCTAAATTATCTTCATGAACAGAATTTATTACCATGCTGGCTTTCATTTCCTGAAAATAATACGCAAAATTATTGCATATTATTAAAATTAATTTAGTTTTTTAATTTTTAATAAAACTAAATTATTTTTAGTTTTATTAAAAATTATGACCCAAGCTTTTATCCTTAGAAATTTAAAAAATTTCTTTTCTCACTTTTAAGTAGGAAGATCTCAAGTAAGACAGACATGTTAAAAACAATGAAAGGGAACCACACTATCATGGCTTATACAACACTACCACTAATTGTGTACTACCAATGCAGTGACATAGCAGAATAATCCAAATAGCCCAGAGTTATTTTACTGATCGCTGAAATAACCAAGTTCACAATCAACATAAATAAACTACTACTTTTTGAATATTATAAAAAAAGAAAAATTCCAGAATTATTTAAACTCATGCTAACCTAAAGTCAACTGATAATTATATATCCAAATCCATAATTTCAGGTGTCTTGTAAGTGGCTCCTCATTGAGTTCAATCCACAAAACACAGCCCCTTCTACGATTCCATGGTTTCTAACCATAATAAAAATTTCTGAATATGCATATAGTAATAGACTTCATTAGACACTTTTTAGAAAATTAATGAAAATTAACACATAAATACATCTCCATATAATGTAATATTAATTTCTATAAATTATATCATCAGAATTTGTAATTCCTATTTTTAGACTAATACTGAGATAAATATTCAAAATCCTAAAGAAACTTTTCCTTAATTTACAATGCCTAAGATGTAATTCCTAAAATTTCTAAGAACCTTTAGGAAACATTTTCCTATAACTATATTACACATGAACACTTAATTATCTCTATTTCTATGAACTTATACTATCTTTCTAAATTGTAATGTACATTTCTCAATAATATAAAACATATTCTAATATATCCTTTTGTGGCAAATGCTTATTCTTCAACAGACTGTTTATATTTATTTGACTATCATATTCATTATGTGCGAACCCATTTTGGATTTTTTAAAATCTTTACATAAAAACAAAAGTATAAATAAACAATGTAGGTTGTTCCCTGCCTATCCAAATTATAAATTGATATACATTTTTTCCTTTTGTATTTTTCTTTAATTTAGAGATAGGGTCTCACTTATATTGCCCAGGCTCAACTTGACCTCCTGGGCTCAAGCAATCCTGCCTCAGCTTCCCAAGTAGCTGGTACTGCAGGCACATGCAATAGCGCCCAGCTTAATATGTGTATTTTCCTGGTTTCCATCAACTTTTTGTGTGTCATTCATGAGACTAAAGAGCTAATAAACTCAGTTATGGCTGCGTGTGGTGGTTCATGCCTGTAATTCAAGAAGATTGCTTGAGGCCAGGAGTTCAACACCAGCCTGGACAACACAGTTTAATAAATTAGCCAGGTATAAAGGCACGAGCCTGAGGCAGGAGGATCACTTGAACCCAGGAGTTCGAGGATGCAGTGAGCTATGACTGTTGCACTGCACTCCAGCCTGGGCAACAGAGTGAGATTCTGTCTCTAAAAAAAACAAAACAATAAAGTAAATAAATACAAATAAAAAATAAATGGCAGTGAGCAATTTTCCTTCAAACACAGCTACTTAAAGTAACATACAATTAATTTCAATTATTATAGACTAAGATTGTTAAACAATTGATCCTGAAATGTCAGAACTGTGAAGTTTCTTTCTAGAACAGCAGTACAGAACTATGATTTTTACTTTTATTCTAATCCTGAGGTTGGCTAACTTCAGCCCATCAGCCAAATCCAGCCCTCACTGTATTTTTAGTGCCTCCTTTAAGCTAAGACTGGTTTTTATGTTTTTAAAAGACAGTATGTTGCCCACAAAACCTAAAATATTTACTACTTGGTAAATATTTTACAGAAAAATTTTGTCAAAACAATAAAATCTAAAATTTGCTGCTGTTCCAAACACCACTAATAGAAAACTGTCATTTGCCAACAACGTTGGGTGTAATTTATGTAAATGCATACCCTGCAGAAGAATCCAAGAGGCTCAGAGACTGTCACACTTACAGGCCCCTTCTAAATGAGGCAGAAAAAAGCTGCAATTTGTGCATAGGTCACATAACCTAAAAATCTCAGTCCAAATGGGCTATGCCACTTACAGGCTGGACAGGGAAGACAATAGTAGCCTGACTTTTTGGTAGTAACTAAGCAATTCATTCGGAACTTGTTTTTTGCATAGTTTGAGCACAAGACCTCAGAGAAAGGTGACAGCAGAGTTGGACAAGAGACAAGAGACATGACAAATACCATGAGATGCTTTTTGTTGCAGATAACCAAGTAGCAGCTACCATCAAATACCCAAGGACAGCCAATAACATGAATGATGGAGCTTAAAAAGCAGAGACTATACAGAAATAAAAACTTTTAAAAAATATATAGGCTTAAAAAACAGATTATTCGGAAATAAAAACTTTTAAAAAGTGTACAGGCATGCCTGAGAGATACTGTGGGTTCGCTTCCAGAACGCCACAATAAAGCAAGTATTACAGTAAAAGGAGTTGCAAATTTTGTTTCCCAGTGCATATAAAAGTTGTTTATATTACTCTGTAGCCTATTAGGTGTACATTGGCATTATGTTTAAGAAAACAATGTATATAACTTAATTAAAAAACACTTTATTCCAAAAAACTCTAATGATTATCTCAGCCTTCAGCAAGTTGTCATCTTTTTGCTGATGGAGGGGCTTGCTTTGAAGGTGATGTCTCCTGACTGAACAGGATGGTGGTTCCTGAAGGCTGGGGTGGCTGTGGAAATTTCCTAAAATAAGACAATAATGAAGTTTGCCACATTGGACTCTTTCTTTCATGAAAGATATCTCTGTAGCATGTGATGCTGCTTCACAGCATTTTACCCACAGCAGAATTTCTTTCAAAAATGTTGTCAATCCTCTCAAATTCTGCTGCTGATCAATTAGATTTATGTAATCTTCTAAATCCTTTGTGGTTTGTGGTCATTTTAACACTGTTCATGACTTTTTTATTAGGAGTAGATTCCATCTCAAGAAATCAGTTTCTTTGCTCATCTATAAGAAGCAACCTCTTTCTTGTTCAAGTTTGAGCCTGAGATTGCAGCAGTTCTGTCACATCTTCAGACTCCCCTTCTAATTCTAGTTTTCTTGCTGTTTTCACCATATCTGCAGTTAGTTCCTCCAGTGAAGTCTTAAACCCCTCAAAGTCATCCATGAGGAGAGAACCAACTTCTTCCAAACTCCTGTTAATGTTGACATTGTGAGCTCTTCCCATAAATCATGAATGTTCTTAATGGCATCTAGAATGATGAATCCTTTCCAGAAAGTTTTCAATTTACTATTCTCAGATCCATCAGAGGAATCACTATGGCAGCTATAGTCTCGCAAACTGTATTTCTTAAATAACTAGAAATGAAAGTCTAAAGGATTCCTTGATACATGGGCTACAGAATGGATGCTATGTTAGCAGAAATGAAAATATTAATCTCCTTGTACAGATATCTACCTCAGACCTCTCGGATGACCAGGTGCAGTGTCAATTAGTAGTAATATTTTCAAAGGAATAGTTTTCTGAGAAGTAGGTCTCAACAGTGGGCTTAAAATATTCAGTAAACCATGCTATAAACAAGTATGTTATTATCCAGGCTCTGCTGTTCCATTTATAGAGCACAGGCAGAGACTATATAGCATCATTTTTAAGGACCCTAAAATTTTCTGAATATCAAATGAGTGCTGGCTTCAACTGAAAGTCACTGTCTGCATTAACAAGAGAATTAGCCTGTCCTTTGAAGCTCTGAAGGCAGGCACTGACATCTCCTCTCTAGCTATGAAAGTCCTAGATGACATCTTATTCCCAAGAGAAGGCTATTTCAGCTACATGGAAAATCTGTTGTTTACATAGCCACCTTCATGGAAGATCTGAGCTAGATATTCTGGATAACTTGCAGTTTCTCCATCAGCATGTGCTGATTCACCATGCACTTTTATGTTATGGAGATGACTTCTTTCTTTAAACCGCATGAACCAATTGCTAGCTTCAGACTTTTCTTCTGTAGCTTCCTCACCTCTCTCAGCCTTCACAGAACTGAAAAGAGTTAGGGCCTTGCTCCAGATTATGCTTAAGAAAATGTTGTAGCTAGTTTGATCTTCTATCCAGACCACTCAAACTTTCTCCATATCAGCAATAATGCTGTTTTGCTTTCTTGCCCTTCATGTGTTCACTGGAGCAGCACTTTTAATTTCCTCCAAGAACTTTTCCTTTGCATTCACAACTTGGCTTACTGTTTCACACAAGAGGCCTATCTATCAGACTCTCCGGGCTTTCAACCTGCCTTCCTTACTAAGCTTAATCATTTCTAGTTTTTGACTTAAAGTGAGAGACATGTGACTTGAATGCTGACAGGCCTCTGTAGAGTTTTAATTGGCCTCATTTCAATATTATTGTATCTCAGGGAATAAGGAAGTCCAAAGAGAGGGAAAGAGATGGGAAAATGGCTGCTTAATGGAGCAGTCAGAACATATACAAGAAATCAATTAAGTTTGCCATTGTATATGGGTATAGCTTGTGACACCCCCAAACAATTACAATAGTAACATCAAAGATCACTGATCACAGATACCATAACAGATATAATAATAAAAATGTCTGAAATGTTGGGAGAATTACCAAAGTGTGACACAGAAACACAAAGTGAGCACATGCTATTGGAAAATGGTGCCAATAAGCTTGCTCACAGTAAGATTGCCATAAACCTTCAATTTGTAAACAAACAAAAAAAATGA